CAAAAAACATTCTGCCTCGGGTAAATAGCGTTCACCCGACCGGGTAAACTACCCCACCTGACCGGGCGAACGGGAAAACACAGCTATACCAGGTCGGGCTCAACCTTTCCCCTCTCACTTCTTCTTCCTCCCAACACCCAAAACACCTAAATTCCACCATTTTCAAACACCCCAACCTTCGAATCTCCCCATTTCCTTAACCAAATCCACTAAAAACCCCATTTTCTTCATCTCCTCACTTCCCTCTTCATCTCTATACCCATAAAATCCCCCAAAACCTTCCAAATCAACCCAACCCAAAAACCCTACCCAAAATTCGAAAATCCCCATTCTTGAACATTCAAGGTCCGAAATCTCCCCAAAAATCCTCAACCAATACCATATTCTTACTCTTCTCACCATTAACTTCAACCCCATACCCATAAAAGCCATCCAAATCCCACCCTACCCGAAAATCCGAAAATCCCTTTAAAAAAACAAAAAAAAAATCAATTCTCGTGGCTCCAAAAAAATCCAAAGCTTCTTCTTCAAGGGCAATCCCACCGGTAGCGGGCTATGAAAGCGTGGAATTTGCAACGGAGGCACAAAAGCGACTCTTCGAGGGACAAGCACAAAGGGAGGTAAAACAATCCCGATTCATGTGCATTACTACTCTAGCCTTCCTTTGGATTGATGTGATCATGCGTGATATATTTGCAAGAATTGGAATGACTAGGTTGCTAGAAATGCAATATGTGACTTATCCTCATTTGGTTTATGAATTCTTTAGTTCATATATGTATACAAAGGATGATGATGATCATGCAAATGACACCATCACCTTTCGTTTACTCAATGAAAATCGTTCATTGACCAAAAGAGAATTTGCACATCATTTTGGCCTCCCTCTGTTTGATGAAGCTCGTGCTTATGATACGCTTGTGGGGTACGAGTTATGGAAAAGAATGACAGGACAAGGTGTGGTGGACCTTTCTAAGTTGAGTGTGAACTGTGTTCAACACCCGGTCTTCCGTATTTTCCTAAAATTCTGTTCAAATTGTTTCCTCAGAAGACCGAACAATCACCACACAAGAATGTGGGATGTGTGTGTTCTGGCACAAGCTGTTTTACCTGGACCAGAACCAGTTGACGTTGTCTCTATCTTATGGACCCATTTCAAAAATGTGGCAACGTCATCCGGACAAATTGTGATAGGGGGCCTAATCACACATCTAGCCACTTTATATGGCTTTGTAGACCCAGGCCCCATCACCCCGAAACAGCTCATTTGCACGTCATGGCTTGTGCAAAAGACCAAAGATTTGGCTCTATCTCACATGACACCTACTGGGACACCAATCTACAACTGGTTTATCATCCCACGTCAAAACATAACTATCCATATCCTGTCCCCTAACGTCCCCCTAGATATCGTGGGCCATGAAATCGGTGATGGTCATCACTACTGTCTCCCCGGGGCAATCCCGGCACACTATGCACAAGATGAACCAGATCAAGAACATGCTGAAGAAAACCCACCCTTGATACCTAACCCACCACAACAACAACCTGATGCTCCAGCCTACCAATACTCACCATTCGAGCAACAGATGCTCAATAACATGAACATGATCAACAACAACTACATCCAGCTTCAAGAGCGAGGTGATCAGTATAGAACTGAACAGAGGCATAGCTTTGAGAGGTTGGAGGAACAACGACAGGAAGACTGGCGGAGATATGAAGAAGACCAACGGCGAACCTTTGGTCCGATATACTCCTATGTAGCACACCAGGGCTCCTTTTCCTCTATGACCACTCCACCTCCTGCACCATCATGGTATGACCTCTCTCAGTGGGGTTTCTTTGGAGGATCGAGTTCCGGTGGTGGAGGCGACGATGGTGGTTATGGCGGGGATCACATGGATGAGGACAGACACCAAGGTGAAGGTCTAGGCGGACACTAGGGACAGTGCCAGATCCTAAGTGTGGGGGTGCAGAGATTGTTCTGGTATGCTCACAATCCTACTTGTTTTATTTTATTTAAAAAGAAAGAAAAAAAAAGTTTGTTGAGTTGAAAACCCACAAAGGGCAACTCAAGCAAAAAATTAAAGCAATAAAATAAAGAGTGAGGTTGTGAGAATTAAAAGAAAAATGTGGGAAGCTGGGATGAAAACCTGAAAGGGCACCTAGGCAAAACGAGAGAATGAGAGAAATGTCTATTTTGCAGGATCCTGAAGGTGATAAATTCAAAAGAGCAATGGAGATAAGGATGAAGTTGAAGACCCCAATTTACTTTAATTACTATTGGGGATGCTTTATATTGTGGTAAAAACACTTTTGGATGTTTTGTATTTATATTCTTGTCATTCAGGACTTCTTGGATTTGATTTCATTTACTCGAGACGAGTAAAGGTTTAAGTGTGGGGGTGTTTGATGCACACTAATTAGTAGTGCATAATTGTATGTTTTTATGTTTCATTGATGGTGATTGTTTGACGTTTTATTTGGTTTGTAAACATTTGTGTGATTTTAGTTGTAATTGTATTTTAGTTCTCATTTGTAAGTTATAAAGTAGAATTAGGAATTAGGATGTTGGAAAGGAGGATGTTGAAGTGAAGAAAAAGGAATTTTAACTGTCCAGGAGCAAATACCCGACCGGGTAGGAAATTTCACCCGGTCGGGTCTGATTTGAAAACCGAAGCAGTGAGGAAAGAGTTGGGCCCGGTCGAGCCCCATACCTCACCCGGTCGGGCGAGAAGTGACCGGGGACAATCCGGTGTGCGAAGATCACCAGAACGTGGGGAAATATCTGATTTTGACCGGACCCGGTCGGGTGAGTACTTGACCCGGTCGGGTACCCGGCCAAAGGTGTTGAAAAACACCTATAAATAGCACACTTTTTCTTCTATAAAAATCATCCCTTCTTCCATACTCTTTAGCTCAGTTTAGAATAGCATTTTTTTATATTTTTCTAGCTATGTTTAGTCTCCAAATGAGGAGCTAAACTTCCATTCTTGGTGTTGCTCTTGAAGTTTTTTGATTATTAAAGTTGTGAGTTATTTTCTTAACTTCTTTCCTTGAATATTAATTAATAGTTCTTTCCTTAATACCATCTCTATATTAATGTTGGGGAGTGTTGCTAAGATGACAATTAGTTAACATATCGACATTAGTTAGTATGGTATTTTCTTCCTCTATATTAATGTTGGGGAGTGTTGCTAAGATGACAATTAGTTAACATCTTGATATTAATTATAGTAGGATTCATCTTCTTTAATAATATTCTTCCTTGAATATTAATTAATTCCTACTCTTATTTCATATTAATATTTTGAACATTACTTAAAGGATCAACTAGTTTTGTTTCATATATTAATTATTACTAGAAACGATCAACGAACCGATGGTTAATCGTTGATGGTTTCACAAGTAAGTAACTTCGGTTTATTAATGCACGATCGTGGTTAATAAACTTAAGAGGGATTAATTTTGTTGGTTAAACCGAAACCGCTTGTGTTGAGGTTATCAATCTCAATTGATTTCATCAAGGAGTTAGAAAGATTAAATGCTACTATTAAATAGGTATAAGGCGTTGTTCTATATTTGATTAATAGTAAGGGTTATTAATGAACGATCGTTGTTAATAACTACCCTCGATGAAGTGGATATACTCCCCGATTGAGTATTCGAGAGGGAATAAGTTATAGATATAACAATGATCGACTAAAATATATCAACAAGTGGAAAGTAGCAATGCCAAGTCCTTTTTATCTTTGAATTAAACACATATAGGTTGTTCATCTTAGTTCTTAATTAAATCCAATCACTCAATCCAAATCCCCCCTTTTATTTACTAAGTATCGTAAAAAGAGAATTATTCCTTTCCCTGTGGATACGAACTCTACTACGTTATACTACGTATAAGTGTTTAGTATTGAATTTATTTTGACGCACCGTGACAAAGTGCTCGTCACATGGCCCAGCCCAAATTAAAAAAATGTCTTTATTTTTAGTGTAAAAAAATCCGGGCAAAAAAAAATCTAGAAATATTCTTTGTATCGGCCCAGTCCGGCCCAATACCCTGGCTCCGCCCCTGATTATATGTATGTTGACACGATGAAGAGGAAGAATCAGGATATCATGGTGTTGAGTGTCACTTGACGTAAGAATACTTTCAACAGGATTCCGATTTGTATAAATTACATGATGATCTATAGTGAGTAAACAATTACAATTACATATGGAGTAAAGAATTATAATTAAATAATGTATATCAAATATATATTCATAAATTTTATCTTGGGATACCTGGCTGAGGATACCTTCATCACATGACTATCTGTAGTGAGTAAACAATTACAATTACATATGGAGTAACAAATTATAATTAAATCATGTATATGAAATATATATTCATAAATTTTATCTTGGGATACCTGACTGAAGATTGGGATCACTTGTGTTCCCATATAACCCTTCATCAATTATTCGTCTCTTGCCACGACGAAAAGGAACAATCGGGACATCATGGTGTTGAGAGTCGCTTGACGTAAGAGTACTTTCAACATGATTCAGATTTGTATAAATTAGAGGACTATCTGTAGTGAGTAAACAATTACAATTACATAAAAGTTAAAGATGTATCTAATTTTGTTTAAGTAAGCTATTAAATAAAGATAAATTGAGAAAATATGTTCATTACTTTTCCCCATTTCCTCCCTGCAAACACGATTTTTTATTAAAATCCTTCGTTCCCTTTTCTTCTCTTCCCCTCTTTACTCTCTCCTTCCGTCCCAGCCTTTGAACTAAACAAGCCTTAAGAGATCATAAGGAATATCTTAATGTTGAAAATTTAACAAAAAGTATCATGGAATAATAATAATGCTGTTCGGGAGACTGGGGACAAACCACGCATACAAGTCTCCAAATATGGTGGGGATAATTAGTTAATTACCACTGAAATTTATCAGTCCATATAAGCTTTTTAAATTTCCGCCAAGACTTCACTTCAAAGCTCAAACGGGTCTCGTTGCAGACAAGACGCCGCAGAAAAGACAATCCTTTTGGGCTTTCGACACAGATTTCAGCTACATGTGTACTTCTAAACAATCTCATCAACTTCATCATCACATGTGATTGAATTTCATCGAATTTCTGTACCCGAATAGCTGCTTTTGTTTCTGAGCAGAGTGAGGGAGATTTGGGGAAATGGTAGTTCATGGGAAGCGTCGGCAGAGGTGTGTGAGCAAGGAGAGTTTGCTGGGTTTGAAATTAGGGCTCTCTGTTCTGTTGGCGGTGAGTTTTGTTTATATGACAGCACTCTTTTCTGGAACCATTAGCCGGATTGTTGAGAGCGGATCCCACTTTCTCGATGACGCTCTGGCATCAACGCGGCCACTTCGTCTCCTTTTACCTCAAGCTGTTGATCTGGATTTCACTCAAGGTATTTCTAATTCAAATGCTGCTTTGCTTTTCGTTTTCAGAAATGCTCCGTATTACTTTTTGTTGTTGATAGATCTGTAATTTTTCTATGCAAAGGTCAAATAGCAGGAAATTGCACAAAAAATGCTCCTAGTAGAAATAAAACAAAGATAAAGTGCACAAAGTATGTTACATAAAAGTATAGAACTTCTTCAATTACGAGTAAGTGAGTATTATTTTGGGAAGAAAACAATGATGCCCTATTTGTACACTTTATGGGTTTATCTATATTTTACTCTATTTAAGGAATTTTCTCAAAATGAAGAATTCTAGCCGTTATCTATTTGCTTGCTTGACCCAATACACATGCATCCTTCCACATTTTAGTACTTGCTTTTGTTCTTAAAAGAATTTGTTTATTCTGGGGATTTTTTTTAATGAAAATCGCTCATCTATGGTTTTTCCTGGTACAAATTGTACAATGTTTAATTGATATACATACTGACCATGCTCTCTTTGATATCTATATAGGGAATGCACAGGTGTGTGACCTTTTTACAGGACATTGGATTCATAATCCAGATGGTCCGTACTACACAAACGAGACATGCAATTTCATTGAGCTCCATCAAAATTGTATGAAGAACGGTCGACCAGATACTGACTATCTTTACTGGAGATGGAAGCCGCGTGATTGTGGCCTACCCCGGTTTAACGCAAAGAAGTTTCTTGAGCTAATGAGGGGTAAAACTTGGGCACTGATTGGCGATTCAATTTCCAGGAACCATGTTCAATCGATTCTTTGCATGCTTTCAAAGGTATAAGTTGTATTTGGCTTCAAAACTTGTCTTACTTTTAAATGAGTGTTAACTACACTGCACTAGAAATCGTTGCCCAGGTCCCACACTTAGGCGCTATACTTCCTTTATTCCCCACCCCCGACACCTCATGTAGTCTATATCATGGATTCTTGATAAATAGAATATCTCTAAAACGAATAAAAGGTGATAAAAATGTTATATGTTTTTTTTTTCATTTTAAGAAAACCTTAAATATATATCAAGATAATTGAGTAAGCCTTTCAAAAGTTTCCCTCCAAACCCCTTCAACATGCTCCATCTAAAGTCTAAACATGGCTTAAAGCAGTATACCCAAACCTACAGCCAGCATTTCTATGAGCACTGTTTACCTTACATCTATTCATATGCCAGTATTACAAACTGAGGTAATGTTAACATTTGTTGTGGTGTCAACTCGTTTCAAATTGAATCTTTGAGTATGAGGACAGCTCACCTTAGATCAGATCACAACATAGTGGCATACTAATGTGAAATTAAGGTAAAGTTTGTGGCAAGGTTGTCACAGCGGTTTTGCGAGGCGTCTCAGTAAACTGCCTTGTCGCCTAGACGACTAGGTGACTCTTTAGGCGATATTTAGGCGACAAGTAAATATAATACGTCAATTAGGATGTTTTCAATTGGGGTGAAATTTTTATGTGTAGATGTCTATTTTATGTGTACTTTACTATTATCTAAGTCTGGTCTATTTATGTCTGACCTGGTTTGGTCTGAGACTGAAATCAGTCTGAATAAAAACATCTTTAGTAATTTATTATACAACAACAACAACATCCAAGCCTTAATCCCAAAAGAATTTGGGGTCAGCTAACATGAATCGATCTATGATATCGATGCCAAAAAGAGAAGGCGGACAAGAAAAGGAAAAAAAGTAAGATAAAATGAATAAAATAAAGATACATAAATATAAGATAACAATAACACAAGAATATAACCAAGATAAAAGAAAAATAAATAAAAGAGCATAAAAAGCTAGAAGATAAAAATAACATAAGAATATAAAAAGATAAGGAAGATAAACGATAAAAGAAACAAGAGAGGAAAGGTAGACAAGACATCAATCGTCCACATGAATGTGCGCCCTCCACTTTGCTCTCTCCAAAGCCATACTCTCATCCAACCCAAGAAGACGCATACCAGTTCTGATTACTCTAATCCAAGTCTGTTTGGGTCTTCCCCTCTCTCTCTTCTCTGACTCTTCTCCCCACCCCTCAAGTCGTCTAACAGGTGCATCGCTCGGTCTTCTATGCACATGCCCAAACCACCGCAAACGAGACTCCTGCATCTTATCTTCTATAGGTGCTACTCCCACCTTTTGTCTGATTACCTCATTCCTCAGGCGGTCTTTTCTGGTATGTCCACACATCCAACGCAACATACGCATCTCTGTCACACTCATCTTTTGAATGTGGCATTGCTTCACCGCCCAACACTCTACGTCATACATTAATGCCGACCTAATTGCTGTACGATAAAATTTACCTTTCAGTTTAGTCGGTATAGTTTAGTAATTTATTATATTAACTTAAAATGAGAGTCTAATGTATATTTTCTTTCTCAATGAAACAATAAAAATTTAACAAAAAGGAGTAATGCGATTTATGTGACTGATGGTTTCAGAAATGGGAAAAAATGGTACAGAGAAAAAAGTAACTACAAAGATAAATAAAGAAACTAAAATGATGAACAAGGAAGAAAGAAAGAAGAAAAGTAATAATGGAAATGCAAATTTGGGCAAGAACTCAAACCCCGGCTCCCTATGAATGCATAGTTAACGACTAAGAGATGTCATTCAATGTTTGGCACTCTTCAGGCGAGGCAGCCAGCTATGGGAGTTATCTTTTACTGTCTGGACACCTAGTTTCCGCCAAGTCATGGCCTAGACCAGCTATGGTTTGCGGTCCTAACAACATCGGACCATTTTGTGTAAACCCCAGTACTAAAATGAAGCATTTTTTAGGTGGAGCAACCTGTTGAGGTGTACCATGATGAGGAATTCAAATCCAGAAGATGGTTCTTCTCCGCGTCCAACTTCACAATTTCTGTCATTTGGTCCCCTTTTTTAGCAGAAGCAGACATATTTGAGGACATAGATGGGGTTTCCACATCTGAGGCCGAGCTTCATCTCGACAGGCTTGACAAGAAGTGGAGCCAACATTTCCATAGTTTTGACTATGTGATATTATCAAGTGGAAAATGGTATGCCAAGTCAACAGTCTATTTTAAGGGCAAAACATTATTGGGTTGCCACAACTGCCCCAAACGGAACTTAAAACAGCTTGGATTCGAGTTCGCGTACAGAGAAGTTCTAAGAAATGTTTTCGGCTTCCTCTTGTCATCTTCAAAAAAGCAGCACAAAGGCATGATTTTCTTTAGGACTTCCACATCAGATCATTTCGAGAATGGTGAGTGGCATACTGGAGGGAACTGCAAACGAACCGAACCGGCCAAGGAAGGCGAGCTTGAGCGAAGTGAGATCAACAAAATTCTCCGCCGTGTGGAGTTACAAGAGTTTGAGAAAGCTGTGGGTGATGGCAGTGAGAAGGGAGTGAAGCTCAAACTTTTTGATGTGAGCCCGCTTTCGTTGCTTAGGCGTGATGGCCACCCTGGGCCATACAGATTCTTCCAACCATTTGCAGGAGGCAAGAGTGGGCCTGGTATTAATGATTGTCTTCATTGGTGTTTGCCAGGACCAATAGATTCATGGAACGATTTGATGATGGAGATGGTTCTCCGTGGCCGGGGCGCTGATGGACTTGTTGACTTTTAGTGTATTACATTTTGACCCCTTTCACGAATGGTTTTGCGTTCTAATAGCTGAAATTAGCCCATCTGGCCATCCCACGCCATGCTTGACAGACTGAGGTGCATCTTATAGAATTTTGAAACACTTGTTACATATAATTAATCACACTTATTTATTCTTTTATAGATAGTTCTTTTCTCATGATTCATACGTTCGTTTGTGTACTGTCTCGCCCTTGAACTACTCTGATATTCTGATTCTGAGAAATAACATTAAAACGCATTTTGGTTTGCTGAAACATGACCGTTTTTATTCCATTATTTTCCATTGTGGAAGAATGGATTTAAAAAATGCAGATTTGGTAATGCTTTGGCTGTTTTGTTTGGCATATAAACGCAATAAGCATTGCATGTAATGAGGTTAATATAAAATGCTCGAATGTCCCCCTCAACACCACCCACCACTTTATGTCTATATATATATACTACTACGCACAATTTTGCTCTTTGTACACACCTAGGAGTGGACTCAGACCGGGCCAACCGGCCAGGAACCGGACCGGCCCGCTACTGTGCGGGTCCGGACCGGCCTGGTGAACCGGTTGGTGCCCGGTTCGGGCCACCCGTCCCGGTGAGGTAGGCGGTTCGGGCCCGCGCCTCCTAAATCGTGAACCGGCCCGGCCCGGACCCGGCCCGGCCCCCCAAACCACCCCAAATGGCCCAAAATACCCAGCCCAACCCGAAAATTTAAAAAAATTGAAAAAAAAAATAGTTTTTGGCCCGAACCGGGCCCGGCCGGGTCGGGCCTTGTTTTGGGTGACCCGAGCCCGGACCGGAAAACCCACGGGCCGGGCCTACCCTGACCGGGCCACCGGATCGGACCGGGCCGGAACAGTACCGGTCCCGGGCCGGTTCCGGGTCGGGCCACCCGGCCCGAGTCCATCCATGGGTGGATAGATGAGGCTTCGGTCAGGAATTTCCTGATCGGAATACTACCCTCTCCCCCCTCTCTCTCTCTCCATGTGCGTATAAATTAGCCCCTTCTCCCCCCCCCCCCCCCCCCCCCCCCCACACTCCTATGATGAAGGTGATGAAAATGGAAGAAAAAGGAAAGAAGAAGAGAGAATGGGGAGGGGGGAACCGTAGGAGTGAGGGAAAGGGAGAAGTTTTTTTTAGTATATATAGTTTGTATAAGGTGTGAATAAGAGGCGTATACAAAGAGCAAAATTGTTTATACCATGACCTCTGTCCTAGTAGATTTTGCCAATTTTGTGTGCTGGATTATTTAATAATCAAATTGAATTTAGTTGAAGTTACTTTTTTTGCTGAAGTTATTGTAGGTGACTATTTTAGCTGTTTTTAATATAATTTTTCTTTATTTTAACAATAAAATATATGTTAAATATAATTATAATTCTATAGATTCACATCTAATTTAACATAATCACCCGATTCAACCAATTCCTCTGAAAACTTTATCAAGTGTAATCTTTTTTTTGAGAGGGGCACGTGTTGAGCCAAGGGACGTGTGTCCTTGTCCAGACGAGGGATCACCGTGAGAAAATGGTTGTTGGAATCGTTTTGGTGGCTTGTGAGTATGGCCTCGCACACCTAATAGGCGTGAGAAAAGGCGGCCCATTAAATCAACCCAATGATCTGGGCCAAAGAATAGCACATAGAAGGTCCGCATAAGCCTGGAGTCTCCTACCGTGTGGAGAAGGCTACTTTATACTTTATACGAGGATACTAGAGCTCAATCAAAAAAAGATTGTTTTATACTAAAATTCTAGATTTGAATTCTCCTCCACTATCGGTGTGGGAAAAATGAAATGGGAAAGCAAGACAAGAAATTTTGTACATGGATTGCCCCTTATAAATTTAATTATCTCCATTCAGCAAATCAACAATGCTCTTGCTATTACATTTAATTTTTCTTGATAATAATGTAATATACGATTGTCCTAAATAATAATAATGCTAATAATAATAGTGATTGAATTAGAGCCCATTTAATAAACCTTATTACCCAAGTATTTTATTATACTAAACATATACGGAGCAATTTTTACTTCACACGCAGAATTGTGTAATAATCAAATTAAGTTAGGTTAAAGTTATTTTTCCGCCTAAGTTGAATGAAGTTATTGTAGTCGTATATATGTAATCTAATATGGAGTAGTAAAAAACAACAATATATCATTTTGTGTTGCACTTTTTATACATTTAAAAATTATACATATTGAGCAAAGTAAAAATTAGACCCAATCTTGTGTAATATATTTCGAACATTTATTTATTTTCTTCATATATCACTATAAAATACTCTCTCCGTCCCCCTAATATTGAGACGAAAGAGAGTGATATGGTTTTTAAGAAAAGTAGAATTATGTGGTTGATAATGAGTTGGTATAGTGAGAATAACGTAAGAATGAATTAGAGCCACACAAATGTTATCAAATATGGTATGAGACAATAATAGAGGACACTCAAAAATGAAAAAATGGGACAATTATAGAGGGACCGAAGAAGTAGTAATTATAAATAGAAATCTAGAACGCCTTTTCACGCCCACGCTTCGCCTATTCTCGTCTATGCTTCAAAGGCTTAAGGTTTGACCTCGACGCCTTGCATGCCTCACGCCTTTTAGAACACTGGTGCCAACCTATATACGATATACTCCATCCATATGGTAGATAAAAATGTACAACCTCCATCACAAAGCGTTGTAATATACGTAGTATGTGTGAGAATATTTGGGAAAATGTACTCCAATAGGAGTCCGGGACTGAATATATATAATAAAAGAGTTTAAAACATATTAGGAAACAAATATGCCTAATAATATTCTATTACACCCCCTCAAACTGTGCGGGAGATACAACACGCAGGTTATCCTTCAAAAAATAAAATTGCTGACTAGAAAGACTTTTAGTAAAAATATCAGCTAACTGCAGTTGGGTAAGGATGTACTTCACGACCAGGTCTCCATGAGCCACACGCTCTCGAACAAAATGGTAATCAATCTGGATGTGCTTGCTACGAGCATGCTGAACAGGATTGGCAGTCAAATAGGATGCAGATATGTTATCACAGAATAGCTGAACTGGAACGGTCACCGGAAATCCAAGTTCAAACAAAACCGAACGAATATGCAATGTATCCTGAACAGTATAAGCAACAGCTCTATACTCGACTTCGGTGGAGGACTTAGATACGGTAGCTTGCTTCTTGGACTTCCACGAGACAAGATTTGGACCCAAGAAAACGGCAAAGCCAGTCGTAGAGCGGGACGTATCTGGGCAGCCTGCCCAATCTGCATCTGAATAAGCTATCACACAGGTATCCTGAGTGGTCGGCTGAAGCCATAATCCATGATCAAGTGTTCCCTGCAAGTATCTAAAAATGCGCTTGACCGCAAACAGATGAGTAGTACAATGGGCATGCATGAACTGAGACACTAAATGTACAACATAGGTAACATCAGGTCATGTCAAAGTTAAATACTGTAACGCACCAACCATACTACGATACTCAGTGGCATCTGCAAGAAGCTCCCCATCAGTGAGGGATAAAGAGGTGCGAGTAGCAAGTGGAGTACGAACAGATTTAACTGTGTGGAGATGAAAACGAGAGAGAAGATCCGAAACATATTTATGCTGAGAAAGAAATAAACCTTTTGTGGAATGAACAACCTGGACACCTAGAAAATAGTTAAGATCACCGAGATCTTTCATAGCAAATTGCTTAGCAACAAGTTGAATAAGAGAATTAACAGCAGCGGAAGAATTACCAGTAATAATTATGTCATCGACATATAATAATAAATAAATAACATTATTATTCTGGCGGTAAATAAATAATGAATTATCAGACTTGCTGCAAGTAAAATGATGAGTCAAAAGAAAGCTACTAAATCGGTGAAACCATGCTCGCGGGGCTTGTTTAAGACCATAAATTGCTTTTCGCAATCGCATAAATAATTAGGAAACAAAGGATGAATGAAACCCCGCGTCTGACGCATATATACTTCATCGGTGAGGTGTCCATGCAAAAAGGCATTTTTGACATCCAAATGACGAATAACCCACCCAAAAGAAATAGCTAGTGTAAGCACAATACGAACAGTGATGAGTTTAATAACTGGACTAAAAGTTTCAGAGAAATCTACGCCTGCCTGTTGATTAAACCCTTGAGCTACCAAACGAGCTTTATGGCGCTCAATGGAACCATCTGAATTATATTTAGTTTTAAAAATCCACTTAGAGCCCACGACATTTTTAGTTTTATCAAATGGCATCAAATCCCAAGTATTATTAGAAATAACAGCATTAAATTCCTCAACCATTGCCTCACGCCATTTTAACTGTTTATTAGCCTCTGAAAAACAAGTAGGATCAGCTGATAAAGCAACAGTGTTTAAATTAAAAATCGTTTTTGGTTTAAAAATGCCCGACTTTGCTCTGGTCTGCATGGGGTGAGTATTGGTTAATGGGCCAGAGCTAGTTTGCGGTGGAGGGGAAGAGTCGGGGAGGGCAGTGGCGGGTGGGTCGGTTGGCAAGGTGACGGATGCGGACGGTGTGGGGAAATGGTCGGCCGGAGACGAAGGGGGTATGGGGTCGGAGATGGGTGACAGAGGTAGAGAGGAGTGACTGGAAACCGGTGTTGGGGAACCTTCGACTAAGGGGGGTGTTTGTTCGATTATGGCAGGAACATGGATGGGGACAGTGGTTGCGGAACTATGAGGAAGGGGGTGGTATTGGTGAGAGTAAAATCATTAATGAGAGGACTATATTCAAGGGAAGAATGACCCGTAGAAGAAGACAATGCGGCATAAGGAAAAATGTTTTCATGAAATCGAACATGCCGACTGATATAAACTTTGCCAGACTTGGGATCCAAACAACGGTATCCTTTAAACCCAGATGCATAGCCAAGAAAAACACATTGTATAGAATGAGGAGAAAGTTTATTGGAAGAAGAGGCCGAAATATTGGGATAAAACGCGCACCCAAAAACACGTAGTAAACTATAGTTAGGAGGTTTTTGAAAAAGAATATCATACGGAGAAACACCAAACAAATTTGGAGTAGGAAGCCTGTTAATAATATATGCAGCTGTAAAAATAGCATCTACCCAAAAGGTGCTAGGAATAGAGGCTGTGAGAAGCATAGTCCTAGCAAATTCTAAAATATGATGATGTTTGCGCTCAGCAACACCGTTTTGTTGAGGAGTATGAGGGCATGATTTTTGAAAATAAATGCCATTTTTAGAGAAAAATTGTTGCATATGAGAATTAACAAACTCA